CTAGTTTTTCTGAGAACCTACACAACCTGTACTGGTTTTACTGAGAACCTACACAACCTGTACTGGTTTTACTGAGAACCAATACAACCTGTACTGCTTTCACTGAGAACCTATACAACCTGTACTGCTTTTACTGAGAACCTACACAACATGTACTGCTTTTACTGAGAACCTACACAACATGTACTGCTTTCACTGAGAACTTACACAACATGTACTGCTTTCACTGAGAACCTACACAGCTTATATTTTTTCAACCAAAGACATGACCTCACCAGAGGTGTTTGAGGTGATTTTATCAGTCATGAAATGTTTGTTCACTCCTCATGACCATGTATCAGGCTTACATGAACTGTTAAATAAGACAGTTTGTATAAAACACACTTTCTTAAATCCAGACAAAACCAAATAGCTGACTGTTCTCTTATAGACAATGGAATCCATCTAAATAGCTTGCTGTTTTCTTTCTGTACAATCTTTAGCCACAGAACAGTGACAGCTTAAAGTAAAAAAGATAAAGAAACTCACTGAGTAAGCAGGAGAAAGTATTAATTTAGGATGCCTGCACGCGCACCTAGTGTTAACGAGAAGTGAGTCCCGTCATCAGAATAAGCGAATTCCTAACACTTACTTTGCAACCACGTGTCCTTCAGGTAGTCCTCACGGGTAATTACCACCTCCCCACCCCTTACTCTATGCTGGAGCTCCTACGCTCTGGAGTAAAAGGGGTTCATTTGTTTGTATGTTGAAATGAAATTATGTGAACATTTATCACCTGTTTTAATTTTTTATCTTTTACTCAGACAGACATACAAATAGACAGTTGGACAGACAGATAGATAGATGGTATGTTAGAGGGGCAGCTAGATATGTAGACAGAATAGATAGATAAGCACAAACATAAATATATATAGACAGAATAGATGACATCATATACAGATAGGTGGATGGAACCGTTTCTGAAGTGCGAAAAGACAGGAGTTTTGATGACGTGAAATAACTGGAAGATTTCCGAG